ATGAACATATGGAAGTATATGTCTTTTGAATTTAGTGTCTTGATTTTGTTGGATAGATACCCAGAGGTGGAATTGCTGGGTCCTTCTTTGTTTCTTGCTATAGTCTTTGACTGGTCTAAATATTGCTACCCCAACTTTTAAATTTTTAATTTTCATTTTCATGAAACATCTTTTTCCATTCCTGTACTTTAAGTCTATGTGTGTCTTTGGATCTCAAGTGAATATCTTGTAGATAGCACATGTAACAGTCTTGTTTTGTTGTCCATGTAGCCACTGTATGTTTTTTGATTAAAGCATTTAATCTATCAGCATTTAAAATAATTGTTGATATGTATTTGTTACCATTTTATTATTAATATTTTTATCTTTTTTAAACTTTTTTATTGATTATGCCATTACATTTGTTCTATTCCCCCCTCCGTTCCCCTCCACCATGCATACACCTCCCCCACCATTTCCCCCTTTAGTTCATGAACACGTGTCTCAAATTCTTTAGATTCTGTATTTCCCCTACTATTCTTATCCCCCCCCTATTTTCTATCTACTGTCTATGCTACTTATTTTCTGTACCTTCTCCCTCCTCCTCCTTCTCCTCTCCCACTCCCCTGTTGCTAACCCTCCATGTGATCTTCATTTCTATGGTCCTGCTCCTGATCTAGCTGTCCTCTTAGTTTGCTTTTGTTTTAGGTGTGGTTCTTAATAACTGTGAGTTTGCTGTCCTTTCACTCTTCATCTTTTTTATCTTCTTTTTCTTAGGTAAGTCCCTTTAACATTTCATATAATAAGGGCTTGGTGATGATGAACTCCTTGAATTTGGTCTTATCTGAGAAGCACTTTATCTGTCCTTCCATTCTAAATGAAAACTTTGCTGGATAGAGCAATCTTGGTTGTAGGTCTTTGGATTTCATGACTTGGAATACCTCTTTCCAGCCCCTTCTTGCCTGTAAGGTTTCTTTTGAGAAATCTGCTGACAGTCTGATGGGAACTCCTTTGTAGGTGACTGTCCCCTTATCTCTTGCTGCTTCTAGGATTCTCTCCTTCATTTTAATCTTGGCTAATGTAATGATGATGTGCCTTGGTGTGTTTCTTCTTGGGTCCACCTTCTTTGGGACTCTCTGAGCTTCCTGGATTTCCTGGAAGTCTATTTCCTCTGCCAGAATGGGGAAGTTCTCTTTTATTATTTGTTCAAATAAGGTTTCCACTCGTGACTCTTCCCCTTCTGGTACCCCTATAATTCGAATGTTGGAACGTTTAAAGATGTCCTGGAGGTTCCTAAGCCTCTTCTCATTTTTTTGAATTCTTGTTTCTTCATTCTTTTCTGTTTGATCATTTTTTTCTTCCTTCTGGTCCACTCTATTGATTTGAGTCCCAATCTCCTTTCCATTACTATTGGTTTCCTTTGCATTACCATTCATTTCAATTAGTTTAGCTTTCATATGTTTGTCTAATTTGTGACTAAAATCAACCACTTCTGTGAGGATCCTGATAACCAGTATTTTGAACTGTGCATCTGAAAGTTTGGCTATTTCTTCATCGCTTAGATTTATCGGCCATGGGGCTCTGAGTTGTTCTTGAGCCATTTTTGATCTGTTCGCGCTGTTAAGAGGAGCGAAGCCTTAGTTGTTTACCACAGCAGGGCCACCCAGGGCACTGGTTTGTGATGCTGTGTGTGGGGGCCGGGTCAGAGAGGGAGCAATTGCTGTCCTCACCGCTAGCCCAGTCCGTCCTGTTCCACCACTCGCCCCGGCCTGTTTATCTGATTGGAATTGTGCGAGCCTGCTGCCCCGCGCCTTGCAGGCTCAATGCTCGCCTCTTCACTGGTTTACCTACACGCAGATGCGCGACCTACTGCAGACAGCCAGCCGCGCCTTTTCCCTGTGTGTTCCCGTAGCTAGCCCGTGATCCGCGCCTTTGGCTGCTTGTGCACCACCAGGTCAGGGATCTTTTTGGTCAACCCGCTCCACTGCTGGCTTCGCCCCTCATACCAGTTTAGCTGAGCATTTCGGGTTTTTTTTGTTTTTTTGGACTCCATATTGTTGATTTTCTGTGTGGTTTGGTTGTGTTTATTGTTGTTAAAAATAGTTGTTCTTAGATTTGGTTGTGCACGGAAGCAAGGTGTTTCCACCTATACCTCCATCTTGGCGGAAGTCCCTTTTTTGTTCTTAAAGATTCTTTGGCCTGCAACCCACACGATGGCGGTTCGATTCCTAGTCAGGGCACATGTCTGGGTTGCAGGCCGGTCCCCTGCAGGCCAGTTCCCTGCAGGCACGAAAGGCAACCAAACGTTGATGTTTCTCTCCCTCTCTCCTTCCCTTCCCCTCTAAAGAAATAAAAAATAAAAAAATATAAAATCTTTTTTAAAAAAGAAGATTCTTTAATGTTTCTTATAATTCTGGTTTGGGTGACAAACTCCTTCAAATTTTTTTCTGTCTGGGAGGCTATTTATCTGACCTTTATTCTAAATAATATCCTTGCTGGTAGAGTAATCATCACTGTAGGCCCTTGCTTTTCATCACTTTGAATATTTCTTGTCAGCCCCTTCTGGCCTGCAGTGTTTCTTCTGAGAAATCAATTGGCAGCCATATGGAGCCCCCTTGTAGCTAACTGTTTTTCTTTTGCTGCTTTTAAGATCCTCTTTGTCTTTAACCTTTGGCTTTTTTTTGTAGATTTGTTTTTATTATTATTCTTTTTACTAGTATACATTTCTATGATACATGATTTGTGTATTGCCTTATGTGCTTACCACTGAAAGTCAAATCATCTTCCATCACCATATATTTGGCCACCTTTACCCTTTATTTCACCCTTCAGCCCCTTCCCTATGGTAACTACAATACTGCTGTTTGTGTCTATGAGTTTCAGTGCTATATTCCAAATATCAGTGAAATCATATGTTCTTAGCTTTTTCTGGTTTATTTTTCTTAACACGATACTCTCAAGGTCCATTCACGTTGTCACAAATGGCAGTATTTTATCTTTTCTTATGGCTGAGTAGTATTCCATAGAATATACTTGTACCATATCTTTTATCCAATCCTCTATTGAAAACACTCTGGTTGTTCCCATGTCTTGGCCACAGTGAATAATGCTGCAGTGAAAACAGGGATGCGTATATTGTTATAAAAATGTAGATTTGAACTCAAACATCAGAAACTACTTTAGATTAATAGACTTCAATTAAATACTTTTATTTAAAAACTAAGTTTATTAGATTGAATTCAGAAAAACTACATACTACTTACAAGAGACACATCTTATTTTTTTAATTTAATAATTTTTTCGTTACCATTTAGTCCCCTTATACCTGCCTCATGCTTGCAATCACTACACTGTTGCCCATGTCCATGAGTCCTTTTTCCTTTTTGCTCAACAGACAAAAATTATAGGGACTTCTCTTCCTGGACTGGAACCCTGGGCTGGGAACTTGGTGTGGGGCAGGGATCCCTGGCTTCTCATGAGGAACCTCTGCAACCAAGATAGCCCTCTCAATTCTTATCAGCCACACGTGGGTGTGGGACCAAATCATTTCAAGTCTCCACCCCTTCTACCAGTCTTGATGTGTCTTCTTCTTTATGTCTTTAGTTATAGGACTTCTATTCAGCTAGATTTCAGGAGGTTTCTGAATGATGGCTGTTCTGTAGTTTAATTGTAATTTTGATGTGGTTGTGGGAGGTTCTGAGTACTGTGTTTGCGCTGCCATCTTGACCTGCATTCCACATGCCTTGAGATTTAAAATCTGCTGTTTACTTACAAAAGTCATTAATGATATTCAATTTTTCTAAAAGACTAAATGAAGGTACTTGTTTAAGCCCACTTTGTATATGCAGATAAAATGATCTTTCTGAACTATAAATCTGATCATTCCCTTTAAAACACTTTAGTGATTTTCCATCACCTTTGGTTAAAGCAAAAAATCCTTAGCGAGGCCTACAAGTTTCTTTATGGTATAGCTCCCACCTGTCTTCCCAGTCTCACCTCATCATTGCATGCCCTGCTTTCAGCCACACTGAAGGTATTTGTAAATCCTCAAATGTACTACATTGCCTTTTGCTTCAGGGCTTTAGCATATGTTGTTCCACCTGGAGTGCTCAAGCTACTCTCACCCCAGTTACGTCCTACTATTCTTCAAATCTCTGCCCTTTCCTTTGAGGAACATTCACTGTCTTCCCAGCCTGAGAAAGCTTTTCCACACTGCTACAGATTCATGTGATTGAATCTTTCTGTCTTTCAAACACCACTTTCTCTAGCACCTGTGGCCAGTTCAGTTTCAGGTGTGAGAGTACCTGCCCCATATATTCCTGGTTCTGTAATACACCTCCCTCCAAAATTTCAGAGTTGTTTTTCCTACTCCACTTCCCAGCACAAGTATGACATCATCTTAGTGAGAGGTGTATCCTTTCCCCAAAATGTCCCAGTTGATTTCCTGTCCTGGCATCCCAACTTATCCAGCACACTACCCTGTTAGTCTTTCAGTTTGTTGATGACTTCCTCTGCTGTGCAGAAGCTTTTTTGTTTGATGTAGTTTCAATTGTTTATTTTTGCTTTTGTTGTTTTTACTTTTGGTGTCAGATTTTAAAAATCACCGTGAAGATCTATGTCAAAGAACTTACCACCTATGTTTCCTTTTAGGAGTTTTATGGTTTTAGGTATTATGTTTAAGACTTTAATATATTTTGAGTTGATTTTTGTGATTTGTATAAGAAAGACAGTGGTCCAGTTTCATTTTTTAGCATGTGGCTGTCTAGTTTTCCTAATGCCATTTACTAAAAAGACTGTCCTTTTCCCCAATGAATATTCTTTGCCCTTTTGTTGTAAACTTATTGACCAGATAAGTGTGTGCTTGCTTCTGGGCTCTATATTCTATTTCATTGATCTAGGTGTATCTTTTTATGCCAAAACCATTGTTTGCCATTCTGTGATCCATTGTTATAGTCTAACCATCTTGAGGGTACTCATCAAAGTCATCAACAGTAATGTATTTACTATTTATCACTTTCTAGGGCCCAGTATCTACTGAGTCCTGGAAAAGTACCACCAATGCCATGTCTCCTCCAGACAAAGCTGAATTCAGAGAAAACAATTCACTGCCCTTTTATAGCACCTGTGGTTTCTACCCACGTGCAGTTCCTGTAAATATTTTTCCATGCAAAACCAAATCAGAAATTACAGAAAATTTCGGAATGCAAATTTACAAGCTTTCTTCCAAAGTTCCATTATAGTCTGAGTACAGAGTGATCAACAATATTTGCTTGGCTTAAACATCCTATTAAAAATCCATGCGTTTGTATTCCTTGATCACAGGGAATAAGGTGAACTTGTGTTTACCCCTGAAACTTATATACCCAACAAATAGCCAAATTTAAATATATACCAAATTAAAATAATATTAATACTTCCCTAATTTATAGTCATAATTCCATTGTTCTTTTTTACTTTTTTCTTTTTTAATGAGAAAAGGAGAAGTAAAAGCAAAAAGTAAAAGTAATGTAAAAACAAATGTTAAACAGTAATTTAAAATAAAAATGTAAAAGTAAATTTTTTTTACTTCTTTTCCTTTTGTTTTAATGAAAAAGGGTGGGCACAAGAAAAGGAGAGGTGAAAGTCAATGGCAGAACAATAATTCTGGCAGACTGAAAAATGGCCCCTAATCACCCCTGAAAGCTGTGAATGCTACCTTTTGTGGCAAAAATGTATCAGTTTTATCTCAAAATAATAATTCTATTAATGTAACTCAACATATTTTTAAATATTGAAAAGTGAGAAGCAATAGTCACATAAAAATCCAACATTCATTCTTGATTTTAAAAAACTCTAAACAGCCCTGGCTGGTGTAGCTCAATGGGTTGATCGCGGGCCTGCGAACTAAGGGATCTCAGTTTGATTCCCATTCAGGGTACATGCCTGGGTTGCAGGCCAGTTCCCAACAGGGGATGCACAAGAGGCAACCATACATTGATATTTCTCTCCCTCTCTCTTTCCCTTCCCCTCTAAAGGTAAATAAATAAATAATAAAAAATAAAAAAACTCTAAACAAACTAGGGAAGATGGGAACTTAATATGGTAAAGAGCATCTACAAAAAAATTCTGCTAAAATCATACTTAATGATGAAAGACCGAATACTTTCTCAAGATCAGGAAGTATTCTTGTATTCACATTGTACTGGAAGTCCCGTCCAGTAAAATCAAAAAGAAATAAAAGGCATCCAAGTCGAACATGAAGAAGCAAAAATACATTTATTTTCTAGATTACATGATCATCTATATAGAAAAATTTGATGAAATCTACAAAAAATACTAGGAGTATTAAGTGAGATTAAGAGATGCAAGATTAATTTACAAAAATTTATTGTATTTCTATATACTAATGATAGATAATTAGAAATTTAAACTTAATAAATAAAAACATTTCCAATAGCACTAAAAATATGAACCACATAGGGAGAGATTCGACAAGAGATGTAAAAGAGCTATACACTGGAAAGTATTAAACATTGCTGAGAGAGAAAAAGAAGACTTAAATATATAGAGAAAGATACTTTTTTTATGGGCCTTGAGACTCAGTGTTGTTAAGACTTCATTTCCCAAGCTGATTGATAAATTAAATGCAGTCCCCATCAAAATCCCAGCAGGCTTTTAAAACAGAAATTGACAAGCCGATTCTAAAATTCACATGGAAAATCAAAGGACATAGAATAGCCAAAAGTATTCTGATAAAAGAGGACAAAATTGGAGGTCAAACATGATTTTAAGACTTTTCATAAAGCTAGAATAATCAAAACATTGTGGCATTGGTGTAAAAACAGAAGATCAAAGAAACAGAGAGTTCAGATATAAACTCACACTTATATGGATGACTGGTTTTTGACAAATGTGCAAAGGCAATAAAGTGGAGAAAGGATAGTTTTTTCAACAAGCAGTGCTGAAATAATTGGATATCCATTTGAAAAACAAAAACCAAATACCCTTTGATCTATACCTTCTATCACATACAAATATAACTCAAAAAGGATACTACATCTAAACATAAGAGCTGAAGTATAAAACTTCTAAAAGAAAATAGGAAAAATTTGGGTTAGGCACTAATTTAGATAAAACACTAAGAGCATGATCCATAAAATAAAATTTTGATAATTGGACTTCATCAAAATTAAAAACTTCTTTAAAAGACTATTCTTAAGAAAATGAAAAGACAGCTCCCATCCAAAAGAACATATATCCAGAATATAGAACAAATTCTCAAACCTCAGTAATAAGAAAACAACCGAATAAAAATGGGCAAAGATTTGAACAGACACTCCACCGGGAAGATATATGGATAACAAGTCAGCATGTGAAATGATAATTCAGTGCAGCATGATTAAGAGGCAAATTAAAATAGTGATGAATACAACTGCACACCTATTAGAATGTCTAAAAGACTGACCATACCAAGTTTGGCAAGGATGTCGAAACTGAAGCAGTCATAGCCTCTCGGTGGGAATGCAACATGGCACAACCACTCTGAAAAACAGTTTGGCAGCTACTTAAAAGATTGAATATACACCTCCCTATGAGTCAGCCGCTCACTCCTGTGTGTTGATTCAAGAAAGTAAAAACATGTGTTTACACAAAGATAAACATTTATAACGCTTTATTTGTGATAGCCCTAGACTGGAAACAACCCAAATATCCAGCAAATGGTGAAACGATGAACAAATTGTGGTATAGCCACACAGTAGAATACTACTCAGCAATAAAACAGTAAGTGAAATTATATGCAACAACATGGATGAATCTCAAAATAATTAGGCTGAGTGTAAGATTCTATTATATAAAAATCTAGGTAATGCAAAACTAATCTATAGTAAAAACAGATCAGTAGTTTTCTGGTGATGTGAGGGCAAAAAGGGATGAGAGGGAGGAGAAACAAAGGTATATAAGAAAAATTGCAAGGGTGATGTATATCTTGATTGTGACGATTGTTTCCCAGTTGTATATATGATGACATCTGTCCCAGAAAAAGTCCAGCCATTGTTAATACAATGAGAATGGTTTTCGTGACATTGATGTAACCTGGCAGCCATGGAAAGTGGACTGGAATGCATGTATGAACAGTGACTTCATCGTACTAGTCAGTGGGGGTCAGTAGATGCCATTGAGTGAGCATGTGTACTGTGTGGCTATAGCGTTCAAAATGACTGAGCAAGTAGAGCAACGAATCTGAAACAAATTTTGCATTAAGTTTGAGTATTCCTCCATGGAAACCATTCAGATGAGTCAGAAGTCCACAGCTGTGGGCAACCGGTGATTGGCAGCTTCATCACACAATTCTGCTCGTGCACTGCACACATCTTGTACAGTTTTCTGGTGAAACTTTCCGCACCCGCCTAGAGCCCAGATTTGGTGCCCTGTGACTTCTGGCTTTTCCCAAAACTAAAATCACCTTTGAAATGGGAGAAATTTCAGACTGTCAATGAGATTCAGGAAAATATGGCAGGCAGCTGATAGCAATTGGGAGAACTGTGTGAGGTACCAAGGTACCTACTCTGAAAGGGACTGAGGTGTCATTTTCCTATATACAATGTTTCTTGTATCTTATATCTTCTTCAATAAATGTATCTATTTTTCATACCTTCTGGACAGAACTCATATATGTTAAAATAGCAAAGAGTACATTCTAAATATGTGCAAATGCTATGGAGGGTAAGTCTGATTCTTACTCCCAAGTGAGGAGATGTCCACTTCCAAGTGGAAGATCATGCCACCTAATTGCATGGTACAGTCAGGACCATCATTCCACTGTATGCTGCTGCTTTGCTTGCCTGGCTCTCTGCATGGTCTGTTGGTGCCCTTCAAAATAGAATATCGGTTCCTACACAGTAAACCAAGGATCTCGGTATACTTAGGCTCAGGTTGTAGCTTTTTGCCCTCAGTTCTTTAGACAGAAGCACTGTGTATGAATATATTTCACTGGTGTTTTGTTCATACCTGGAAAAACTCTTTCTGTCTTTGGGTATCCTTTTCCCCCCAAGAGTTGGGTCTTTTTTTTCCAATCCTAGAAATACAAAAGATTTAGTTCATGCCATTTCTCTGATAATAAAACATGATAGACTAAGGCTTGGTATACAGAGGACTGACCTATTTAATAAATATTGTCACTACTTCTTGGGTTGGAAAACTTCTCATTTTTACCCTTTGAAAACAAAAGCATGATAGCTCTGGACAATAAGGCAGAGATTTCAAAATGACACCCTACAAATTATAGCCTAAGGCAGAAAGGTGTTTTGTTTGGTCCATACTACATTTAAAATATTTTTGAATTATTGCCAAAAATTTTAAAGGACAATTCCCTATAAATATTTAGATTTTCCTCTCTTTAAAAACAGTTCTGACATCATTGCTGCAACATTCTCACATGGCGACATTTGGCAAGATCTGAACAGCAACTTCTTCCTTTAGGCAGGGAATGGGGTATGTGATCTCTGGTTTGTCCGAGTGCACATTTACCTGGCTTCTATCACATCACATGCTTGTGTGACTCTCCCATAGAATTTGAGGTTGTAACCCCTATAACAATTGCCTTTACCTTAAGAATCTGTTTACTGTTTATAGCAGGCTAAGTAATGGCTCCTGAAAATAACCAAATCCTGATATCTGGACTCTGTAAATATTTCCTTATGTGATAAAAGAGATTTTGCAAATGTGATTAAGTTGAGGATCTTGATCTGGAGAGATTATCCTAAATTTTGCATCCAGGCCTTACATGCAATTACAATTGTTCTTACAAGAGGGAAGAAGAAGGAAATTTGATGACAGGAAAAGGCAATGTGGCCATAGAAGCAGGTGGAGAAAAGCCAATGTGACGAGAAGGGCCATGAGCCAGGGAAGGAGGACAGCTTCCAAAAGATGGTAAAAGCAAAGCAAGGGACTCACCTGTAGAGCCTCCAGAGAGAGTATTTCCTTGCGAGTCACCTTCATTTCAGCCGAGTGAAACTGATTTCAGATTTCTGACTTCCAGAACAATGGGAGAATAAATTTGTGTTGTTTGAAGCCACCAAATTTGTGGTAATTTGTTACGGCAGTCACAGAGAACTAATGCACCCTCCCTGGATGGGAATGTGAGGTTGGGAGGAGACTATCTTAATTGAATTTACCCTCCTACAGGCAAGGAAATCCACTAGTACCTCTTTTGCTAAAAGCCATATAAAAAAACACAGTGCATTTCTAGCAGGCCACTTGAATGCTGTAATCCTTCCTGTAATACTATTGCACATTTTCCTACGTTAAAGCAGTTCACAGCTCAGGGGTATTATTTTTAACAGGTTACCCCCAAGATCATGTTAGGTTTACTCATACAGAGTGATCAATTCTCTACCCATCATGTAAACAAATAGAAAAATATCACTTTACAG